ATTGGATCAACAAAAGCCTCAAGCAAGAGAGTGTCGGACCAATCAGTTCGCTGGTGGTCATGTGCTCGCGTGCATCCGTATTTTGTGACCGCAGATGAACATGAACTGTCTTCGGCAAAGGTTTTCTCTTTCTCCACAGACGGCCGCCAAGATCGATCAACTAGCCCCCGAGCCAATGTCGGTGGTGATATTGATGTCGTCGTCCAGCGAACTCTTAACAGATGGACTGATTAATACTTCTAGGAACATGCCAGGTTCCATTTGCTCTCTACTAGAAGCTCGTCGAGCAAGTTTGTCGACGTCGGCGTTGTCTTTGCTTTAGACATGGTGTACTATAGGCCCGTCAAACCTATGCTCCAGTTTTCTGACTTCTACAAGGTACTTGGACAATTCAGGATTAGAGCATTTGTAATCCTTATGCACTTGTTTGGTGACTATTTCTGAGTCGCCTTTCTGAACTAGTCGTTTGACCACAAGTGATGCGGCTGCTCTAAGTCCTTCGTACTCTGCAGTGTTGTTGGTTGCTCAGAAATCTAATTGGACAGCGTGTCGAAATTGATCTCCGGTTGGTGACGTGAGAACGAATGCAGCTCTTGCTCCTTGGTTGTTGAATGCTCCATCAAAGGCCATTGTCCATCGCTCGTTGTCCATACGATCGACTTTGCCGTCCTTGGGGCGGTCCAGTCGGTGACGAAATCTGCGGGTACCTGAGACTTGATAGTCGTTTGTGGGACGAAGTGGACATTGAATTGGCCAAGCTCGATGACCCATTTGGCAATGCATCCTATGACTTCTTTGTTGCGAAGAACTTTACCAAGGGGGTATGACAAGACAACCATGACCTTGTGGGTTTGGAAGCAGTGACGCAGCTTTCGGGATGTCATGACCATGGCAAAGAGCAGCTTCTAGATCTTCGGATATCTAGTCTTGGCATCATGAAGGACTTAACTGACATAGTAGACTAGGAATTGGACCTTGTCGTGCTCGACAACAATGACAGTACCTATGGAGAACGGCGTTTTGGCGATGTAGAGGAAGAGTTCCACCTATGGTTGTGGGGCAACAAGTGCTGGTGGATCGGCGAGGTATCGCTTGAGTACAAGGAATGCCTCTTCAGCCTCTGATGTCCACTCGAACCTGTCAATGTTTCTTCAATAAATTAAAGAAAGGCAGTCCTCGTTCTCCCATCTTGGCCACAAATCGACTAAGTATTGTCATACATCTGGCAAGCTTCTGGACTTCCTCGAGCCTCATCGGTGATTTCATTTCCTCGATGGCCTTGATTTTGTTGGGGTTTGCTTCGCTACCTCGTCCAAAGACTAGGAATCCGAGCAGTTTGCCCAATAGTACTCTGAACATACACTACTCTGGATATAGCTTGAGCCGATGTCTCCGAAGAATGTTGAATGTTTCCCTTAGGTCATCGATCAGACGATCTCGATTTTTTTTTTCTTGACGATGATGTCGTCAATGTAGGCCTCCACGTTATTGCTGAGTTGGGATTGGAAAGCCCCTTGGATTTGGCGCTGATAAGTTGATCTAGCACTAATCAGGCCAAAAGGCGTCTTGACGTAGCAGAATACACCGAAGTGGTGATGAAGGTTGCCCTTTCCTCGTCTTCCTTGGCCATGCTGATTTAATGGTACCCGGAGTAGGTGTCAAGGAAACTCAACAGCTCACACCCTGCGATAGAATCTATCGGTTGGTCAATCCGTGGAAGGGGAAAATAGTCCTTGGGCATGCCTTGTTGAGATTTGTGAAGTGTACCCACATCCTCCACTTATCGTTGGATTTGCGTACCATGATTGGGTTGGCAAGCCACTCTGGATGGAGGATTTCTCTGATGAAGCCTACTTTGAAAAGTTTATTGAGCTCTTCTTGGATAGCCTCTTTGCGATCTGGCGTGAAGCGACGCAACTTCTGCTTGACAGGTTTTGCGTCGGGTCAAACCATCAACTTGTTCTCAATCACCTCCCTGAAGACTCCGGACATGTCGGACGGCTGCTAGGTAAATACATCTGCATTGTCATAGAGGAAGGTGATGAGCTTGAGTTCCAATTTGCAGTCGAGCTCGGCGCCAATCTTGGCCGTGTTTGTCAAGTGTGCTACTAGACAGCGGGATTATCTTTATGGCGTCGTCTGGTTTGGGTGCCAAGTTGGGTTTGCTCACTTTCCCAGGAGGCTCGATTGTGGCGGGACTGCGGTAGTTTGCTCGACTATATCAAGGCTCATCTTGTCACATTGCACGGCCATCTTCGCGTTCCCTGGCACCGTGATTATCCTTTTAGGTCCCGGAATCTTAATCAACTGGTAGGCGTAATGCGAAGCCGCCATGAATTTGGTGAGTGTTGTTATTCTGAATATAGTGTTGTAGGCAATATCGAACTCTGCTACATCAAAATGATATGCTATGTCTGCAAGTTGTCAACTCTGCCAAAGGTCACGGGCAATGTAATCTTCCCCCAACAACCTTGATGATGACTCTGGGGTAATGCCATGGAAGGGCTGTTCTGAGGGGATGAGCTCGCTTCTAGGAATCCCCATTGCGTCAAGCGCGCTGAGGAAGAGGAGATTGATTGAGCTGCCACCGTCAATGAGAAATCGCGCGACTAGAACGTTCTGAATAGTAGGCTTGACTACTATCGGGTATCGTCCAGGGGTTGTCGTCAGAGAAGGGTAGTCGATGTCAGAGAACTCTATCTTCTGATTTGACCAATTCATCTTAGACGTCGATACCCGAGATGTAGAGCATACTTCGTGTTCTTGTATTCCCGCTTAGAAGAATAGAAGGTTGAACCGCCGAAGATATACGCCACATGTTGATCGAAGTCAGGAAAATCTAGTTCGGCATCGAACGGAAGGTCATTGGTGCCCTACTCTACCATGCAAACTCGTTTTCCCTTGTCTTGGGCTATCTTCCTAGTCATGGCTTTCTAAAATACATTGCACTCCTTGAACATGTGAGCGTTGGTCTTGTGCACCGGACACCATTGCAGTACAAGGCCATCATCTTGAGGAGGAGGTCGTTGGGGAGCGCTTTTCTCTTATTCTGCGACAAGAACCTCCGACTGTGCCTTTTGCTTTCCTCCTTTCTTGCGACTAGATTGCCAACTTGATTCCATAGCATCTTGTTTGGCCAACTATTTTCATTGACTAACTTCCCCTTCCCATCATTTCTTCGAACGGCCTTGTCTGCGTGAGCACACCTATCAATGACCTCAAACAGCTTCATTGTAGATATTATCCGTCATGTCGCCAGTTCTTGGATTGTGTAGCAATCTTAGACATCTGATTTGAATGCTCATATCACATATGCATCGGTGATCTCTGGGATCATATTCTGACATTCGTTGAATTGTCGGATAAAATCTCGAAGAGGTTCACCGTGCTTTTGTTTGAGGGCATGCAAGGCATCTTAGACCACATGTCTCTTGTAGGTGCCTTGAAAATTCGCGATGAAATGCTTCCAAAGATCCGCGCAGGAAGATATTGAGGGAGGAAGGTGCACCAGCCATGACCGAGCAGATCCTTTCAATGTTGCCAGCAAGTAATTTGCCAGTGCATTGTCATCTGCACTGGCGGTGTATAGGATAGTAGAATAGACGTGCAAAAACTCCTCTAGATCTATGCTCATGTCGTACTTCTCTACCGCTGCAGGACGGAATTTTAAGGGCTAGTTGACTTTAAAGGCTCTGCATCCACCTCTAGGTAATAGGGGTGGTCGGCGACTATGAGGTCCACGTGAACCGCCTTGGATGATGACGAGGACGATGAAGGCGGGGTATCGGTAGTCATGGCTTCGGCCTTGCCTTAGAGCTGGAGATCGTGAGTCTTGTCATTCTCGATCATCGCGATGACTTCGATGACCTCGTTCGTTCTCGTCTTGTCGGCTCTAGCAATCATGACGATCTCGATCTCGGTCGCAGTTACGATTGTCATCTCGACGATTGTCTCTACAATTCTGGTCGCGAGGTTGTCGGTGTCCGGCATCGTGTTGGTCTTGTTGCTCCCGCCTTCGGCCGTTCAATTGGTCGCGGAGATCGTGAGCATTTTGATAGGGAGGCGGTTGATGAGTATGTCGTCGTGGCGATGCGTTCTCGGGGATGCGATGCTCACTGTTGTTGGCATAGGGCCGTTGGCAGCGTTAGCGTCCTCGAGAACCTCATCGTTCTGGAGAGGGTCTTGAGGGGGCGGAGGCCCAGCATCAGCCACTAAGGCGGAGTTGAGGTTAGCGACAGTGGACTCCATTCACTTTAACTACGCTTCTGCATTTCAGCGGGTTACTAGATCAAACGGAGCTTGTCATAGTAGGGAATTTACGAAAGTTAGGTGCTCGGCAGGAGTGCAGAGTGGCTTGACTTGTCTAGGAACTCTCCCAAGAACAGATTTCGCCATCTTCAGTGGAGCCCTAAGTATGGCTGTCCGTGCCCATGTCTTCGACCACACCCTGACGTTCACGTCACGCATAGAATTGGACCCAGAAGATTCTATGCTAAATTTTTCTGCAAACTTAGTCAAACTTGAAAAAATTAATGAGGAAAACAATCAAAGCGACCTATTTATAATATGAAACGGAGGAAGAATATGCATAAGCTGAACAACGTTAGTGCATTTGCAAATTGGTGGCCGTGTGAAAATGTGCCCCATAACCGTGCAGCAAGATTTTGTGATAATTCAAATTTTGCAAGCCGGTTATGTTCCCAATAATTTTTTTTTCTCAAGATCAACTAAAATTCGTTGAATATGATCCAACAATTAACAAATTTCATTGAATATGATCCAGATTGTAGATTGATCTTCAAATGCTTGCGACTCAATAGGTGAAGAACTTTATATAACGCTGGCACCTAAAATACAATCTAATCTAACAGTATATAGTAGTTGTCTAGTTGCCTAATTATGCTGCCAAATTGCGGTACCACCCATGGGTGAAAAGAACACGGGGATTGCTTCTGGAAGCAAGCATATCGCATCCAACATTTACAGAGGTCACTGACCTATTGGCCCCTTCAATGCTAATGATTTCCATTAAGCAATTTTCCAAAATGACAATGCACCTGACAAGCTACATCAACCACGATACATCATTCGAAGAAACCAAACCAATAATTCAAAAGCCAAACTTTCTTGTTCAAGTGATAGATGTGCAATGTCATAATTCCTCTGCATAACTAACATGACTTGAGGTCTACATATTTCATACTACAGCATCAGAAATTTGCAAAAATAAACTTGGCAAGTCCCAACACTCCAAAATATGCTCTATCTCAGCACGGTCAAAGTTGGATAATTCCATAACCTGAAATAACATAAGCAAATAATGAAATAGTTGTCCAACGTAGCATAGCAATTGTTATGTAAAAAGACTAAATGATGACAATTAGTAAACAGTACTCCCTCCATCCCACCCTCTATCCCATAATATAACACGCGGTCAAAGCTGGCACGGTCTCCAAAACTAATCTTTAGCTTATAATTTCTCATATACTATAAGGTTTGTAGCAACAAAATTATAACCATATTAAAGTAAATTTAAATCTCAATCTAATGATATAATTTTTAATAAATAAAATTAATTTCATATTATACTAAGTGTTGGTCAAATGTTTTAAAAGTTGAATCTTAATATGTGTGCGCGCCATATATTGTGGTATGGAGGGAGTATTTTGATGTCATTGGCTTTAGTGCCCTTTACTTAGAGGATGATCAATCTGGGATGGAGGGAGTACTATTTGTACATTCTTTTAAGAAACCTGTAGTTTAACCTACCCATTTTTGAAAATAAACATGGCAGCTTCATTATTAATCTACTATATTCAAGACGCAAGGTCCGGAGCATAAATGAACTACTTGTTAACCACAACTTCACTTTTTTGCGGCCTTCACAAAGGAGAGGCTAAACAGCGAATTGATCGTGAACTTAAAAGAGATCTAATCACATTATAGCTCCATCATGGATACTAATCAGAACAAATGCATTTTTATTGTCTGGCAATAGAGTAGACTAGACACTGTGAAATGAACCAAATACTGATAGGCATAATATCACACACAACATTCATTGGCTACTTGTTATGTTTATCAATGGCAGGGCATATGAAACAATTTCATGCATGGCATTTGTATTTTTTTTCAATCCACTTCTAGGATGTTGATGTTCGCTAAAAATATCAGGTAAGTATGTAGATTATATGAAAATGCTAATACCATTTATCATGAAAAATTATTTTATCATGCTTTTCTAGTATTTACCAGAATATTGAAAACATTTTGAAGACTAAAGTAATGAAATATTAATCTTCGAACATTAAAAACATACTATAAAAGAAGATTGTTTGCAAAATAATGTTTTGCATACACAATTAATAAATCCCAAAGTTTCCATTAGAACTAACATTATGTTAAACCCCAACCATCTTCCCATTAGGAAACGCCCACAACCAAGCCTAAGCCTTCCTCCCAACTGCACACATGATTTTTAGGCTTTAAGCTTTTGTTGCTCAGGAACAGAATGGTTAAACCCTATAGCTTCTTGTGTTTTCCAACTACAATATGGTATGGCCGCATTAGCCCTACATGTTTGACTTTTCTAAAAGTGTGGAGTGTGGATTGCAGGTAATTTATTTTCATTAAGACATAAAATAACATGGCAATTTTTTAGCTACATGGCACTTTGGAGTTGCTCGTTCAAGTGGGTAAGGTCAGGCCAAGCAACTGAGCCATCAGCAGAGTCCCATTTGCTTGACAAACAGTTGAAATACATGTTTTCAGAGTAGAAGCAATCAGGTAATAGTAAATCATCAACTGAATGCACTGGAATCCAAAACAATTTTGCAGCTAGACTATTAACATATCTAAAATGTCCAAAATACTATTGAGCATATCAGTTTTCTTTGAAAAAAAGTATTAGTTAACTGTATGCTCAACAATGAGATTACTGTGCCTATCATTAGATCATCAGGATAAAAAAAATCTGAACTGCGTTGGCTTTCAACAATCCTATTGACTGCTACAACTATTCATAATGATATAGCCAAAATGGTTTAACTGCACATTTCCAATTCTGACACTTGGTCGTGATTGGAGAGTATAGTAGTACACCACCCAAATGGCCAAATCATTATGCCCCTTGGAGTTGAACAACAGTATGACCCAGAGTAGCACAGTCAAAGAAAATATATTGTTACATCTACTCTGAGTTACTTAGTAATAACAAACTAATTGTAAATAGGACAGGAGGGAAGTTGAAAAAAGACTGACCCAAGCTTGCACTGTATTTTTCTCCTTTCGTGTCAACAAAAATGTTTGAACATACAGTAACTTCTACAAGTAGCCACTACTTTTACATACAAGTTTAGATAATATTTTGACTGCGGTCAAAGCATCTAGCTAGTAGAACTTGAATTTGTTATTAAGTAGGCATTGGTTGAGACAGCCAAATCTAGTAGTATCTATACACAAACCTTGGTGAATGAGTCTTTGAAACTGTTCATGCATTAGCATCAAGAAACCCAAAATCCAAGAACATCAATCATATCCACACAAGATGTTTCAATAGACAAGGTCAATGGCAAAAAGCTGATCACATGTTCTATATGACGGATCACATATTGTTTACAAATGCAGGATGAAACTGAAGCATTGATGTGGAACAGCAAAGCCAATATAGAGAGCACATGGGAAACATAATGTACCCTAAAAGAAACAATATAGCATCAATCCTAGACTAAACACTTTGATGCCTAATTATACATTTCATCCGAGTTCATTGATGAGAACATAAGCACCCCTAGGTGCTCAAAGGTGCTAACGAAGATTAAAAAAAAAAAGCTACCATGGGTCTAAGCAATGTGGAGCCGATATGTATTCATGAAAAAAGGAATGTAAAGGTAGGTGCGGCTAAAGGTTTGAAAGCTAAAAATGCTTACCATCTAAGATTAACACAGTAACACCTAGTGCTAAGAAACATATTTTTTTCAACGTGATTTTAGTCAACACTGTCAAAATTTGATAACCTTAGCCAGTGACAGGTCCACAACTCTGTCCACATAGAAATTGTGGGGTCAGCTCAACCCCGCAGCTTTTTAGAACCACCTTGTAAAACTTCATTTTCATGTGTAAATCCAGAAAGAATTAGATATGACTTCACTTAAATATGGGTAAGAATTGACCCAATAGTATAAAATTCCTTGATCTACCATTGACCTTAGCATCTTCGATGGAGCACAAAAAACTAACAAGCATCTTGAGGGAGAAAGTGCTAAAGCATCCACCGTGATACCTAAAATAGGTCTTAAGGGATGCACATGCTCTTATCATCTAGCAGTACGTTATACAAAAGACAATTAGAACAACAGCAAATTCATGCATATTAAGCACATATAAGGCGTCACTGTAGTATACATATCCTAAGGCTCTTCAGAAAGGACATGGTCCCTTTTTCCATTAGAGAAGCCAATAGCAAAATACGTGGAACTTCATAGCTACAACAAAGTACCAACTACTAAGGATGCATATGCCTATCTATCCACCTATAGAAATTGGGCACTTCCTAGGAGCTCCCACGTTAACCATAAAGATCTAACCGTTAATTAGATGGATCATCTTCTTATAACCGTAGATTGGATTTAGGATTTGTGCTAAATAAAACACGACCTGAAAATATCGTGGACTCTTTGGATGCAATCTCTACATCCATAATGACATTGATATCTCTATCAGGCTCAGTATCGTAGAAATTCATGGCTCTGCCCGCGACTGTATCGTCGACAGCCACTCTAGGACTGCGAGACATGGCATATCGATCTCCTTCGCCTTCTTAGCTTCGCGGTACACCTGGGAGAGGCAAAGCAGCAGGGTTGCTGCATATTGCCGCAAAACACAACATACCGCTGTAGCTGGTGTGGCGACAAAGCAGTTAGGTGGCACTGAATTTATGGAGAAAAAGCCGTCAATAAATTGTGATTTTGTATTGCATTGAGGCAGCGGGCAGCAGATGGTGGGGGTGAAGACACAAATTGGATCAAAAGCGGAATTCGATGGACAACAGTAGTAGAGAACCAAAATGATGAATGTAGGTGGGATTGAGGGCCTGTTCACTTTATTGCCAAAAAAAACCTTACCAAATTTTGGCATTGCCAAAATTTTGGCATAGTTACCAAAATTTTGGCAACTTGCCAAAATTTTGGCAGGATTTCTTATATAGTTACCAAAATTTGACAGCAAACTAAATGTAGCCACTTTTTTGGCAACTTTACCAAAATTTGGTAAGGTTGAAAATGGCATCAAAGTAAACAGGCCCTGAGTTAGAAGATAGAGAATGATGTACTAATTTGCATGAAATCATGATTCATGAAGGCACAGAACTCAACAGTGAAGACAAAGAAGACAAAGCGAGATCACAGTGTCAAATAAAAGCATTCTGGTCTATCCATGAACCAATCAAATACCACTATGCGTCTTTTAATTGGCCATGCATGCATTGAAGCAAATTAAAGCAAGAAGAGGAATATACGATGCATGGCAGCTTAGGGACCGGGGTGACACAACTGAACAAGTTGGAGGATCTAAATGAGTGATCTGCAAATTTAGGGACCGGGATGACACAGTCGAACAAGTTTGAGGACCTGAATGGTCGATTTGCGAGTTTAGGGACCGGGATGACACAGCGGTACAAGTTTAGGGACCGGTGATGGACTTTACTCTTTATGAGTTTGTAATTGCAGCAAGTGCTTTAGAGCCTCATCGGTTGCCCATATTTCCTAATAAGCCCAAACGGCTTATTAGGGAATAAAAAATTAATTTATAGGTAAAAATTTAATATATTTGTTTGTAGCGACTTAAAAGCCAACACTAAAAAGAAATTACGCTAAAAATATCTTAAAATCAAGCTCAAAATCAAGTTCAAAAATTCAAATTTTGGCTTTTGCTTTGGCTTATTAGGCCAACCGATGGGGCTCTTAGCGTTTAAATATTAAGTTCAATCATTCAAAGGGATTTTGAAGAAAAAACATTCAACCACTTATTCATCAGTTTAAAATTTGACAGATATTTACATTTTTTACAATACTGTCAAGTGCAACGCACGGGTGAGCAACTAGTGTTATATAACGAGGCTAGCAAGTCCTGCACAAAATATTGAATGATCTTTGATTCTGTTGTTCGATTTATGTTAGGAATCTGTTATGTCACTCAGAAGTTGGGGCAGAGTAGTGTTTGACTGAAGAAGAATTTCTGAATTACCAAAATCTACACCAAACATAACAAGTAGTTGCTAAAAAAAGCACAGTCATGCCAAACGTTCAAGTTACAATATTTCATCCAAAATTACAGACATGAAAGGAAGGTGAAATTCCATACCTCAGAAACCGAAGGAAGAAACCATCCATATCGTCTGCCATTGTACAAGCATTTACCTCCAGCTGCTGGGCCAGAAGGTATGAATGCTATATCCAGTCTTCCAGTTATCCAAAAGAATCACCTTCTTCACTGCCCACCACCCAATTATCATGACCGCCAGCATCGTAAAACGCTGGATCTGCAGGCTCTCCACCCTCACCAGCAAGTGTGTCACCATGGCGATCATGAGCCCCACGAGAGTGTACAAGAACCCAACCGCAAAACCCTCGGCGCCGAGCTGCATCCCAGACCCCTGGTAGAAGAACACGAGCTTGTTTGGATCGGACCGGTCGGTGATGAACATCGGCGTGTGCCTGATGATCCCGTACATCCCCCCGGACACGCTGAAGAAGTAAATGAACAGCGCCCCAGCCATCCAAACCCGTCGGTCATGGAACAAGGTCTCCCCGTCCATGATCCTCTTGATGAGGAACGGAATGGAGACCAAGAAGAGGATGACGAGTAGGATCATCTGGTTGCGGGAGACGAGGGGCGGGCGGACGATGGGGCCGACCTCGAGGCCGGTGCGGGACTCCACGAACTCCGCCATGGAGTCGGCGAGGCGGGAGAAGTGGGACTGGTCCATCTGCTCGGAGCCAGCGAGGCGGGTGTGCTCGGGGCGGACGAGGCGGACGTGGGGGAGGGAGTTGACGCCGAACTGCGCGAACGAGTGCTGCGACTCCGAGAACTCGATGTCGGCGAAGAAGAGGTCGGCGGAGGCGGGGTTGTGGGCGAGGAAGGAGGCGGAGAGGAGGGCGAACTCGCGGCGGAGCTGGGGGAGGTGGAGGTCGGTCTTGGAGTGGAGCGAGGCGGCGTCGAAGAAGACGAGCACGGAGTAGGGGCGCGGCGCCGGGGCGGATAGGAAGCGGGTGATGGAGGTGTCGGTGAGGTGGATCACGCCCGACGGGGAGCGGGACCGCAGGGATTGCAGCTCGGCGACCAGGTCATCGGCGCCGGCGGAGGCGGCGCCGGCGGCGACGAGGAGCGTGAGAAGGAGGAGGAGGGGGTGGGGTGGGGACTCCATGGGCGATTGGCGGATCTGGGCGAGGAGACGAACGGACGAGACGAGGAAGAAGACTTGGGTTGGAGGTATTGGACTGGTACTGGTAGGTGGGCCCGCGGAGTCGTACGGCCTACTCGTACTACTAGTGATGGGCTAGTGCCCCGAAAATTCGGCCCAAACTGAACCCAATGCCATTTTTTGCGGTTTTGTTTTCAAAGGTTTTTCCCTTAAAATTTATCCATTTTTCAGCCGTTAGATTAGAGGTATTTAACTATTTCCCATTCTTCAATGTAGTATTTAACGATTTACCACCGGATCCAATGGCAAATTTGTTAAATTTCACATCTTAAAAATGGCAAATAGTTAATTAACCCGTTAGATTAACCCCGTGATATGCGCATACTTTCATGTGGTTTTGGTCCCACATTAAAGTTCCAACTCGGCATACTTTCAGATGGTTTTGGTCCCACATTAAAGTTTCAACTCGGCTGTAGAGAATATGTAAAACAAGTCACATACATAATCCAGTCTGAATCTGATTTGGGTTTTGGGCCTTGTAAATATATCGTGGGCTAAGTCCAAGGGGTGGACGACCTAGGGCTAACCCCCAGCCTAGTCCTCTTTGCGGAATTCACATTAGCTGTCATAGTTTTATAGCCGGATTTTTCTTATATTATTTATGTCGTTGCAGTTTCGCTGCAAGTTCAGTTTGTGGAAACCCAACTTTAAGTTCTTAATCATTCATCTGCAAAATAAGTTGTAATATACCTTGTTCTTGCTTGAGTTCTTCAATTCGCATGCAGGGATTAGCCTTCTCGAAGAGGCCAATCGGGTAGCACACGGTTGATTACCAGAGGAGACGTGGTGTTGCGATTGTAGGGTTTGGATCGTGTTGATTGGAAGCCGGATCATGTGTGTCAAGTGTCCGCCAAATCAAGAGTTATAAATACCTATCAGAAGATTAGAACCTTGTTCCTCACCAGAGCCCATGCACGGGCCAGGCTTGGTTGGCTACTCTTCCACCATCGAGGAGTCGGGATAGATGGCTAGGTGGCGCTCGGCTAGGGAATCTCTCCTCCCTCTTGAGAGGACGCAACATCACTTGGGGATGGTTCGCTAACATTTGTAGCGGGAATTTCTTTCGATGACCACCTGCATAGATCACAGCTATACAAGATACACTCAAAGACATCACATGCAAGTTCAAGCCAAAGTCAAGAAGTTGACAACTTTATGGTGGGAGCGCCACGATAGCTGAGTCTCGACGCCTCACCTTGCTCCTCTGTATGATGTGGAGGCAAAGGACCAGTGTCTCTTGCCTAAGGCCAAAAACGGTACGGAAACTTTCCGGATTCCGGACCTATTTTTGAAAACGGAATCTGACGGTCGGAATTTTTCGAAAACGGAAACGAGGAAATATTTTCTCGTAAACGGAATCGAAAATGATAAGGGAAGTTTCCGTAGCAACTCGGAATCGGTTGGAAACTTTCCAAAAATTTTCTCGGAATTTTTGGAATTTTTTTCGGAATTTCCAAAAATTTTGTAACTGAAATACCCTGCGTTATTTTTTAAAGCACTTAATAGTGAATACCATGGTGTTTTACTGTTATTTTTTAAAAAATATTTTTTATGCAAATCTAAAATTACATAAGAATATTTTTTTCCTACATTGGGATTTATCAACATCATTACTCTCTTAAACATAGATAATTTTTTTCATAGATTGTGTTTTGTGATGTACTGTTAATACTTAACAATTGGACTTATATGATTATGTTTTATGATAAATCGTTGACCGTTGAGACTTGAGAATTGGATTTATCAGTTTGATGGGTTTTTTATTCCGATAAATTTTCGTTACAGTATTTGCGCCGATTCATTTTCGCTTCGTTTTCAGTTTCGATAATATTCGATTCCGCTTTCGTATCCGAGGTTTTCGATTCCAATTCCAATTCCGAAAAAAAATATGAAAATGAAAACGATAAAGATGGTTTCTATCCGTTTCTGTACCGTTTTCACCCCTACTCTTGCCTATGCGTGCGGCAACGACAGATATCCTAGCCTCGAGCCTATGAGATGAATGTGCAGGTGGTGAGGACAGTGATAAATCGATGGTAGTAGATATCCTAGCCTCGAGCGATGCAAATCTCTTGGCGATGAGTGCTAGAGTAGATGTGCCTACCTTGGCGTTTTCACATGATTGAGTGGATAGTGAAAGGACCTTGATGTCGCCTAGAGGTTGGGTGAATAGGCGTTCCTAAAAATTATCACAACTTCATAGCATATCAGAGTGATGATAACTTTTGATTCAAATCGAAACTTCCGGTATGGGATTGGAAGTTCCGGTCTCAATCGAAAAGTTCGGCGGATAACGGAATAAACACTAGCTATGAACTTGTAGCTCAAACAAACAAAATGTATATGAATCAAAAGGTGACAAATAAGGTATCTAAGCAAGATATAAGGTCACCTACTAAATCAATTAAGCATGCAAGTAGATCAGGTAAAAACAAGCTCAAGCACAATATGAGAGAATGCAAGAACGGGCAAACCAAGAGGGGAGATGCGTGATTTGTTTCCCGAAGTTCGGATCCACGGATCCTACGTCTCCGTTGAGGAGCCACAAGGGCCAGGCCTATTTCAACCCTTTCCTCACGAGGGTGCACAAATGCACTCCTCGGTTTCACTATTGATTTCTTCCCTTGCGGAGGCGAAATCGAAGCCTTCACAAACTTTCCATGGCACACCACAACCTTGGGTGCTCACCGGCAACGCCTAGCCGTCTAGGAGACCTTAGTCTCCAAGAGTAACAAACACAATCGAAGATTTGCTTGCTATGAACTCGAGTGCTCAAAGTATGGAGTGAAGCTCACTAGCTCTCAACTTCTCAATCACTCAATCCAACTCTTTCCCCTTCTCAAATCCCTCTCACAAAGAGGCACACAAAGGATGGAGTGAAGCTCACTAGCTCTCAACTCCTCACTCTCTCAATCCAACTCTCTCCCCTTCTCAAATCCCCCTCACAAAGAGGCACCACAAAGGTAGGGAAATGGGGATGGCTATTTGGCTTTGGATGTGTCTAATACTCCCCAAGAGCAGCAGCCCCTCAAAAGAGGGGTGGAGGAGTTTATATACCCGAGCCCCTCAAAAACTAGCCGTTGGAGGCCAAGACTGTAATTTTTGGAGTTTCCGAAAAGCATTTTCGGACAAGTCCGAAAACTTACAGAAGCAAATCTCATATTCGCAGCCACTTTCGGAATGTCCGAAAATTTTCGGAGTTTCCGGTAATTTTTCGGACTTTCCGAAAAGCACAGAGTAAAACGACTATAACTTTTCACTCGGGAGTCCGTTTTCGATGAACTTGGACTCTATAGAAAGCTCACTCAGAGGACTACCCAACTCAACCAAAAACAAGGTCTAAAACCACTCAAAGGATAGGTTAAAGCTTGGGCTTCTCTCAAGGTAGCACTATGATAGGTCACTTTGAGCACCGAGACATACACAAACACCTCGACGTTGCATCCCTCTTAATAGTACGGCATTCCTAAACTCAAATGTAAATAAGAAGATAATTATACCATTAGGAATGCCTTTTTTTCATCCTTCTTTCATTGTCTAGAGGGACGCCAATGCCGATACCGTTTCACCATATATTCTTCAAATGATTGATGCGGTTACTTGTAGCTTCAAATGGTCTCTCACGGTCCATCATGACAAAGCCGTCACTCGCCCTTTACCACCACCGGATTTGGTCCTTCGGCGCCAAGCCCCTTGCTTGCCCTTCACCGCCGCATGGTCCATCGCGACCGAGCATCGCTTGCCCTTCACCATCTTGCCATAATAGCCACTTCGTATCACACATCTTCAATATCTTCACTTTGTCATTCTTGGTATTGTTAGGTGTAATGATATCACTTGAGCATCAACACCTTTGTAATCCTTGGGACCTATTTCTTTCATTCAACTCAATAAAATTATTAGTCCCAATGATCCGGTTGTCAACCTCCACATGTTGACCAACCGATCGCATGTATAAAAGGATATGAATAAATGATGAGTATTAATCAACACCACAAGTGTCATATACTCAAATATATGTTCAAATGTAAAGATCCCAATTAAATGAAGGTGAATAACTTGGATTGATTACATGCATAACTAAAGTATAGGATTTGCTCCCCCTAAATGTATGCATACAAAATATTTGTGTGAAGCAAGAGCATGCATAACAAGATATTAAACATTGAGAGCTTATCCTATACAAGAATAGAAGGCATTTCTCAAATATAGATATTAAAATAAAAATATACCTTCATCATCTCCACGTTCTCAATGTAAATAGACTAAATAAGAGATAATACTCAAACAAAACATTAGTCTCACATGCATATGCCAATCACGTGGAAATATTATATACGAACATATCAATATGTACATGAAGAGAAAGAGTGATACATATAGCTTGATCTCCATGCATTTCATCCTTGTGATTTAGGTCCACCAACACTCCAATTTCATATCCACATGAGAATAGGCAAAGAAATGCTTATAAAAACATTAGTCTCACATAATTGGATTTGTTATTAATCATCAAAACCAAATCAATGTCACTTGAACTTTCAGATAGCTCTCTTTGCGGGGTAGTAGGCTTTTGTTGACGTATCCCTAATGAGGGATAAGGGTGGCCTCACGCCTACCCAAAGGCTACCGACTTTGGGGCCACGCAAAGCGGCTACTCTGGGAGCCTGCTTCTTAGCTTTTTCCCTGCACGCTTGGAGCTTAGGAACTCGGCGGGATCTTTGGCGGGCCTTTTTCAGGAGCCCTTCTCCGACCATCTTAGGGGCTCGGATATAAAGATCTTAGCATGATGACTAACAGTTATGGGTGGAAGTAAAACGAAGGACATAGACAATAATGTGCGAGCTTTACCTAAAGATGTGGATTCTCGATGTTGAAAGAGTATGGGCACCCCTTGGTAGTAACCACTACGCCTAGCTTGAAGATTTTTGTCCAGGTGGTGGCCTCATTGTCCCTATTCCTCTCATCCAATTCCCAAGTGGGATATGTGGGGGCCACAATACTCAAAACTCATATGCACCCTGTTCTTGAGTGTTTGGATGTGCCGAAGCACGAAGTTCAAAGCGATGTAGACGTCGGCCAGATTCGCCTCCTTCAACTTGTTGAAAGAAGATAAGAGGGGCATGACTAGCATACGGAGGAAGAGAAGGGGAGGGGTTTGAGTAGTAAAAAACACTCAAAATTCCACCCCTTCAAAGAAGATTTGAGGGGAAGATTGAAGTAATCCTTCTTCTTCTTGGGCCACAGCTGGTGGACGACGCCTCCAACCACCTGGGGATTTGCTCAGGAAGGCTGGGGCTTGAGGTTGAACAAGTGACGGAAGAGGGCGAAGTGTGGGGGATCCCAAGAAAGCTTCACAAAGGTTGATGAAGATAGCAATCTGGAGAATAGAGTTAGGTTTACATGAATAAGCTCGATTCCATAGAAATCAGAGGTTGCAAGAGCAAAGCCATGGTGGAAGAAGGGCTCTAATCCTATAATCTCACTCGTATTAGGGGTGGGGAAGAGCTCCGTGATGGCTAGGCGCCAGCCGATGATCTCTTGTGCTGGCAATAGCTTGTCCTCCACCAGATCATCTAGTTTGCTCCCATTGATGATGCAAGCTTTCCGCTCCAAATTTGGATCTAGAAGTGGCATCAAAGCAACGAAAGTTGATGACTTGGTGATGCAGTAGCTAGGGTTGCAGAAAGTGGATTTGGAGGATTGGAAGCAAGGTGCTTGAGCTTTGAGCTTAGAAGGTGCAGAATCTATATCCGGATGGTCATGGGGGGCTACCTCTAGCTTTGGCAAGCGAGAACCCTACCTGTGATGGAGGCCTCATTGAAAGTTGAAGCGACGAGAGCAAGGGAGATGAAGCGACAGTATAGTATCAAAACGTCAAGGGGGTGAATAGGCGATTTTAACACCTAACCAAACTAACCTAAGTTTCTAGGCTTGGTGAGGGATATGTCTAACTAAGAAATTAGATTATGTTTTGAAAACCTAAGATGACAAGGATTCTAGTTATCTCTAGAAATGTAAATTGAAATAAGTAAATGAAACAAGAGAATCGTTTTTTTCTCCCAATATTCAGAAGCTTGCTGGCTTCCTACGTCACTGTTGAGGCGAGCCAAACTTTACCACTCAAAACACCTAGTCTCTAAACCCCTTCATTAAGGGATAGGCAGGGTGGGAGCCGGTCTCAAAGTGGTCTACACAAGCTTCAGTCACTAAGGATAGTTCTTCCTTCATTCCGAAGGTGGTGAACTCTAAATCACTCACAACCAACATTGGGCCTCCTCCGTAACCTTATCGGAGAGATCTCATGGCAACCTCCAAGAGTAACAAGTAGCAACCGGGCTCAGAGTGCCACATTAGCTCAATCAATGATGCGTGTACTTGCCCTGGCTTAATCTACCCTCAAACACCTACAAAGGATTAGCAAGTGCTAAAGTGGTGTGAGAATGGATGCAAGGGGTCAAATGAAATGAATGGAGTGCCAATAGAATCCTCCACCCACCAAAACTAACCGTTGGGGGCAAAATCCCCCAATACCCGCCACCCACCAAAACTAATCGTTGGGGACAAAATCCCCAATATTGCGCATTGCCAGACTGACCAGCATGGAGCAGTCGGATGATCTGACCCATTGCATCAATGGTTTAAAAACTAACTGTTGGTGCACATTTAATGCAATGGCCGGACCGACCAGCCAGCCCCCAAAGCCAAAACCAACGCTTCAGGAACTTGCCAAATTGATTGGCACTTGGGCCTGATCCCTTCGACCTGCCCCCAAAGAGTTGGACATAGCTTCGGGACATATCCGGTCCAAGCAGGCTAGGGGTCTGATATGCTTGGCCTTTTCCAAGAGGGTAAGCCAAGCTTCAGGACACCCCCGGACTAACCGGTCCCATAACCCTGGTCTGTTCAGCCTCCTCCAAAAAAGTAAAGGATCAAAGCCACTAAGTGCAATCTCAACGCATATGCTCTAGTGTAGCCTATTGACACCTCATTGCCAAGTTGCCACCCATCTTATCTTTAGTACAACAAACTAGAAAACAAATTAATCAAACATTTCGATCGGCGATAAAACCTCGATAGACAAATAGACTAGCTTTACCGTCTTCCGTCATTCGCCTTACACTGTCAAATTTTAATCCATGGTGATCATCCTTGACATACTCGTCATGTGGTCCTAATTCAAATTATCTCACGCAAATAAAATGGTTAGTGTACAATTAGTGTTTGTCATTAATTACCAAAATCAACGATCGGGGCCTAGATACTTTAGGAGGCGACAACCTAAAAGGTTTGGGGATTTATCCTATCCCTTGACCTAATTGATGCTTTTATATTTGTTGGTGTGTGTTAATGGGCCTAGGCTTGCACATTGCATCGCCGCTAGGCTAAGGGTTACTGTCACACACCTCATGGTCTACATATCGACTACAATGACCTTGCAACACTGGTGAGTTTCGGTGCACATCCATATTAATTTTGATATGCCTAATATTGGCCAACTGTCGGTTGTTTTTTATGCGGTTATCATGTACTGCTTTTAAGTTGCAAGGGGTTCAAGACATTGAGTCATTTGCAATTTTAGGTTGAGACATTGAGTCATTGATTCATTTGCTTTTAAGTCGAGACATTGAGTCATTTGCTTTTAAGTTGCAAGGGGTTCAAGACATCTCAAGGCAAAGGGCTCGGGGGCTACTGTGGATTACATAGGACCCAGTATCATCATAATGGGCCTTGCAATATGGGCCAACAGGAGGTAAACCAGGTAGTAGACCCTTGTTGTCGGTTGTACACAACCAACTTGTAACTCCAGATATGGGAAGATAAGTGGTAAGATATAATTCTATCTATCCCAGGTAACATGTGGAGAGAGATAACAAACGATTCAGTTAAGTTTGGTAAGCCAGATCCCTTAAAATTTGGCTCTCCATGTCTGTCTAAGGGGAATAGAACACCCCTCGTGAGGATAGAGATAAGCACCATGCTAAAACACATGTGTGTGCTTTTAAGAGAAAATTTAAGAAATACCATTGACAAACACCAAATTCCAAGAAATATCATCGACGAGCGCGAGTTCCATAAAATGACATCGTACAAGCGATGTTGTTCTAGAAATACCATCATCGTTAAGGTTACTGATGGAACCCTAACAACGATGGCATTTCTAGGATAAATAGCTTGTACAATGACATTATATGGAACTCACACTTGGCGATGTTATTTCTTGGAATAGAGCGCTTGTCAATGATATTTTTTGGATTTTTCTCTACTTTTAAATAACAAAACATTTCATTGATTTATGAAAAAAAATCTAGCCCCCCCCTCTATATATACACACTAGAAAAAAAAATGTCCGTGCGTTGCAATGGGTGAAGACTATTTTAATCTTATTATTATTATTATTATACAGTTTAGTTAAGGTGAAATTCACTGCGGGAATTCGCTTGGATATATCTCTATATTTTTTTTAGAAAATCATGAGTTGCAGTTAGGAATCCGATTGTCTCAAGTTAATATGCGAGTTTTTTAAAAGAGTTTCTTATACATCTCCTTTTATATTTCCCAAAGCGAACAAACTTAAAAATCAACTCAAATACGGAGAAATGATCGGAACGATTGAGGAAAGAAAGAGAATGGCGGCCCCTTTCCTTTCGCACTCATATATGGATGACGTACCAAAGTACCAGTAAAAACATCTTCAACTTTATAATAAGAGATAATATCAACCAGGAATACAAAACTAAAAAGGGAAAAAGGAAAGAAATGAAATTGAAAAAAAATCCTATACAGATTGACAAGGTAAAGCATTGACTACTCCAAACAAAAAGAAACATGGATTAAGTCTATAAAAATATTCACAAAACAACACCTTTTAAGAGATCATCATTTATTTTCCGGTGATCGAAATTGACTTGGACGTGTATTAAAGTGGGGATAGGCTTGACTACTCCTCAATTTTCATCAATTTCCATTTCCGTTAGTATGTTTTTTAAACTGAAAATCAGCTCATTTTGCTAAAAACTATATATATAAATTACTTTAAAAATCAAATAAATTTATTTTTAATTTTTTCAATAATTAATACCTGACTAATCATATGCTAATTATGTTTATCATTTTACGTGTGGCTAATCAGGATTTTCGATCCCTTTAGAACGTCACCATAAGGTCAGTAGCCTTAGAAAACAAAAGGATGTATCAAATCCATACAAACAAAACATATATATATTTACAGAGAATTTACCGTGAAACAACTTTGTCCTCAAACAGATGCCAGTTGCCACCCACCGAAAGATACCTGTACGTCGTATGTACTACTGGTAAAATGGCACCTCTCTCTCTAAAAAAAGGAAAAAGAAAAGATAAAGAACGAAAGAGATGGAAAGACGGTAAAGCCGAGGAAGAGACGACGGAAGAGAGGCATATGGGTGGTGGACGTATGAAACGAAATCGTCGCGTAAGGCGTAGCGACCACAAGGCGCGCTATCCACACTTCCACATGGACCACAGGCGGCCCACCCTGCCCTGCCAGGTGCCAAAACCAACCTTCGGCGTTGCGGCCCAAACGTTCGTTTTCCTTCGCCAGTTCAGCTCGCCATTTCGCCATGGCCCCCGCCGCCGCATCATCGTCCGCGCTGCTCCCCGCGGGGACCTTCTCCACCGCCCGCCCCGTCGCGGGCCGGCCCGCCGGCCAGCGCCTTCCCACGAGGGTAGCCGCCGCGAGCAGGACGACGACGGCGCGTTCTCCTGCCGCCTGCCTCTCCGTCGGGGGCAGGAGGCGGGGAGCGGAGGCCGTCCGCGCGTCCGCGGGGGGAGCGCCGGCCGCGTCCCTCCCGGCGGCGCTGCTGTTCGACTGCGACGGCGTGCTGGTGGACACGGAGAAGGACGGCCACCGCATTTCCTTCAACGAGACGTTTGCCGAGGTCCGGTTCCTTCAGCCCCGGTCTCGCTAATTTTGGTTTGATGACGCGTTTGGCGATTGCTCCGCAGGTCTAAAGTGTTGGTGTCGCTTATGTTTGGTAATTACTGGAATCGACGTCTTGTTGTTCACGGATTAATTTGTTTCTGCGGAGTAACGAACCTAAATCATGTGAAAATGTTGAGTAGATGATCACCTAGTACTAGTAATATTACTTCAACTCGGATCATTGGAATGCCTAATTCAAATTCATTGATTGCCTAACTGCACTGCAATTTACATTTAGGGGCTGTTTGCTTACCTGCAGCGCAATATACATTTAGGGGTTCTTTGGGAGAATGATTTTTATCTCTCGATAAGTAGTGATCAATTTTAAAATTGAGAAATTCTACTTCTACAAGTTGTAACAAAAAGGAAAAATCAAGCTGAAACTATTATACGTGGATTCACAGTTATATATGTTACAACTTGTAAAAGTTGAATTTGATTTTCATGTTTGTATAGTGATATATCACATATTAATATACATTCAAGAAATGAGGGGACATCGACACAAACTTTTCCCTGTTGTTTATCCGATTACCATATTTTAATAAATAAAGTCAACTATGTTCAATTGTTCTGTTTATTTCATTGGCCATCTCTGTCGCTAAGTAACCCCATTTTTCTAGCACACTTCCGAAATACTCAGTCTCACCAAACCTTGCCATAGCTGCAGTGAGCGGCTTCTTCACCACAAGTGTGATTTACCTGATATATTGGTAGAAATAGGTTGGTTAGTGTGGCCATCAACTATGGAGCATATCCAGTGAAAACGGGCTGTGTTGAAGAAGGTACATTGTAATTTCTTCCACCTGGACACCTAGTTCAAGCCGTTGTTAATCTTCCTTAGGTGGAAATGAAAGAGCGACCTGGGATACCTGTACTTACAATAGAAAACTGTAATACACTTTTCAACTGCAACTATTGCGTTAACACAAAAAACAATAGGCAGTTATTAAACCTTTTTTTTCTTCTTTATGATGAACCGTGGATGAAAAACAACTGTCAACTGTAATACATATGATTTTATATCATTTAAAGGGTACCTACTGACTGAAATATCAAACTGCGTGTTTTGTTGTTTACAGAGGGAATTAGGTGTGAGCTGGGATGTTGAGCTATATGGAGAATTGCTCAAGATAGGTGGCGGAAAGGAAAGGTTAATCAACACTTTGCTGCTTTCTTTCATTTGTTGGCCTGCCAAAATCCTAGCCATTCATTTGCATTCTTCAATACAAACAGGCGTTTCCTCGAAACATGTTTTGAAAATGTAGTTTGTGCCCATATAGGTTATATCTATACTCCTTTAAAAGACCCCAATAGTGGTGGTGAGTGGTGAATCTGCCACCACCCACCACCACTACCATGTGGGTCCCCCAAATAGTGAGATAGGTGGACTTTTATCCCATCCCCCAACCAGAAGCCATCAAACAAGGAAAATTTATTTTAAAGTGAGATACAAAATGATGAAAAATATGATTGAATTATTTACAGTGGATATAATTTTATTTTAATTTTTGAGGTTTTAAAGTCTTTTTTTAATTCCCGTTGCAACGCACGGGCATTCAGCTAGTTCTGTATGAAATCTGTAGTTATCAACCTGAAACTGTAAGAAAAAAAATATGCTGCTCCGTTACTGTGTCAATTTACATATTTACACTTAGTCACTACTGTGAACACATAAATGATAAAACAATAGTGTTAAATGCACAAGAAAAAAATTAAGATTTTGCAATCCATCTCCTTAATTATGTTGTATACATCTAAACAGTTTACGCTTTCCACTAATTGTTCACATAACAGATTTGCAATTTATTATTGATTCTGACTATTATCTTGACTGGTAGGGGAAACATTAAAATGCATTTTACCACTGGCATTTACTAAGGATATTAAACTTCGGTAATCAGTGCAAGAACTTCACTGTCCTTTGCTAAGTCTATTGGCTTATGTTGATATGAAAGGTTAACAAATATTGTCTCTGGGGCAGGGACATCAAACCATTTGTTTGTTCTAACACAAAGAACAACATGGACTGTTCCGTTTGTGTATAAAGGCATCATAAGTGTATGCTTTTTCACGGAAACTAATAGTTATTACCTAAAGAAAATTCAAACAATCTAATTATCGCCAAGAGCAATATCAAGATGTCCAGGGTGAAGGATCATCAAATCGAATTTTGCTTATCCAATTGAAACTAAGGACCTAATCATCAGCAGTGTAGAGCTGATTATTTAGCATTGGAACTTAATGATTTAATTGTCCATTAGTGTCAGATGTTAGAACATGCTTTTTGGCAATGGTGATACTAAAAGAGCTACACTAAGAACAATGATTTATAGTTTTATGTTGGTTCCTTTTATGTTTTCCTGTAAATAAAATTGAATTTTCTGGTTGAATTTAACTCTAGCACCTATTTCAGGATGACAGCGTATTTCAGCAAAATGGGGTGGCCAGCTAAAGCACCAAAGACTGACGACGAAAGAAAGGAGTTTATTGCTTCGCTGCACAAGAGGAAAACAGAATTATTCATGGCTCTGATTGAGAAGAAGTTGCTTCCCCTCCGTCCAGGTGTTCAAAGGTCATATATTTTACATGAATTTGGACTTTAGCAACTTAATGCACTTCAAAAGTTCTAACACTTCGATATCCTGCTTTGCTACTTTAATACAAGTCAGTTATTATGTCTTGTGGATAGCCATTAGCAATTGTTCATCTTTAACTCTCATTTGCATTCTGCAACATTTCATTATTCTTTTGCTCTTTCTCAAACTATGTATAAACTGCAGTTATATTCTAGTTGTAGCCAAGCTATTTTTCTTTGCTGGAAAACTAAATGCATCTTAATTAATATTGCTTCTTGTACTTACAATTATAACATGAAATCATGACGATAATTGAAACAAGCTTTACAGAAGTAATATCATGAACTTCACTGTTTTACTTTCTGTTGAGGAAGTCTGCACTACATGCATTAGGAAGACATAACAATCCAATCCCACTATGGAATGTTGAATTTACTAACTTCGGAATATGTTGAAGTAAATTAGTATGGGGTAAGTTACCTAGATGTTTTAATTACAATTTACAGGTTAATAGATGAAGCCCTAGGAAAAGGAGTGAAAGTTGCAGTATGCAGTACTTCAAATGAGAAAGCTGTGAGTAACACAATATTTCCACCTTAAATGTACTTTTATGAAGTTAATTGTTAGGATTGGTAATAACAATTGTTTTCATTTTTTATGAAATCTTTCTTCTGATTTTTTCATAAGGAAATACTCCAATAGTTTCTTATAAAAACTTAATATGTACTATTTTTCACACTTTTTAAATAGTAGTACATGTTGATAGTAGCTGTGAACTTGTATGCCAGATAGCTCACATATTTATGCTTGACTGAATGCAGGTTTCGGCAATAGTTTCATGTTTACTGGGCCCTGATCGTGCAGAAAAAATTACCATATTTGCTGGAGATGTGGTTCCTCGTAAAAAACCTGATCCAGTAAGTTATTTTTTAATTCAATAAATACTAATTCTATCAAACAATATTCTATCTAGTTCTTTATGGGAAGAAAAATTATTTCGAAGTGTATAGGGCATAGAATTATAAACTAATATGATAGTTTAAACTACTAGTGTTCCATCAGTATCCACGGGAAAATGTGTAATGTCTTGTACCACACTATGCTCAATCTTAAAAGGAAAATTTTATTTTACATCACTGAAACCACATGATTAGCGCTTAGATACTTTGTGCCTTCCAATTTCCAAATTAGTTGTGTTGAGAGAATACGGTGTTCCAAGCAAGCACACTACAACCAAACCCTGAAAAGAAATAAAGAGAACTTGCCAGCAGCAGTGGTACAAGTGCTGTACCTGAGCGGCCATTATTTATTTATTATGATATGGCCCAGATAGTGCCTTCCTTTGAAAGTTGCTGGTTCACTCAAATGAAATCATGATAGTTTAATTTGATGTTTGCTGGATTGATGATGATTCCTTCAAAATGATCCTTACATTTATTTAATAATAGTATGTTTTTTTTATGAAGATCAACTCTTCTTTCAACCAAATTAAGTTATATTTGCTTATGTAGGAAGTAATTAACTTTTCTTGTGCTATAATTGGATTCCTGGATTTCATTTCTCACGAGAGAGTATGTTTCTTTTTATCTTTGCAGGCAATCTACTTACTTGCAGCAACCACACTTGGAGTCGATCCATCTAGGTAAGGAATGCCTGGGTTTCTTTCTGTTGTTCTGAGTACAAATGTTTAATGACTGTTAGTACAAACTTGTAATTAATATTTGTAGAGTCTACTGATTAATGAACTAGCTTGGTTAGATGTTAATTACTGCTTGACAACTCTCATAACTGTTAATCCATTCAAATGTAAAAGAAATATTGTGCGTCCTTTAACATTATTTTTTTAAGTTACATTTTTTTTAAAAAAATGTTTTTATAAGTAAGCAATTCTAGATTATTTTTCCAGTAAAAAAATATAATAAAGCTTTGTCGACATATGATGTATTTTGTAATAAATACCATTTTTATCAACAGTTTAATAGTTTTTCAGTTTACTAACACCTTTTTTCTTGGATATTTAGTTGTGTTGTTGTTGAAGACAGTACTATAGGGCTTGCAGCAGCCAAAGCTGCTGGTATGAAGTGTATCGTAACAAAAAGCGGGTAAGATTTTTTTTTTCCATGAAATATTTCAGTTGCATCAAATCGCTTTCACTAATTTTGCATGTATTCCATAATAAAGGCATCTGTTGATCTCTTCTGGGTGGAAGCCGATTGGATTATCATTAGCTGTAGCAATAGTGACAGTATTCTTCTTCTTTTTCTTTTTTTTTTGAAAATGCATGAGACCTGTGCTTCATCTCATTAAGAAGGAAAATAAACCACCCATACAACCAAGGGCTCACGAGCCCTTCACAGATCCACAAACAGCAAGGTGACACACGACCAAAACCACTCTACTGCAGCCTAGTGCCCTTGGGTTAGCGACCTACAAAGGAAAACTTGGAACACAAGAGCTCCAGTCAGGCACCAAACTAGCTTCTATTGATACTGCCCACAACACCTCCATGATGTATGGATTTGCTCTGTTGAAAACGCAGTCAGTACGGTGTTTCCAAATTTCCCAAGCAACTAGGATGATCAATGAATTCAGTCCCTTTTACTGCTCCTTAGGTACATTCTTGACAGCTTTCCACCACCATTTAGCAAAACGAGTTACCGAAGGTTGAGGGGCAGAGGGGCAGCAACCGCCATTCCCAGCTTCAAGAAAATCAAGGTCTGAACTTGCCGAGAGAAGACACATGAGACAAGGATGGATGGTTACGTCCTTTTGATCACATAGTGGACAGGTTGCCAGGTGTGCTAGTCCATGTTTGGCAAGTCGGTCCACTGTCCAACAACGATTGTTTATGGCCAACCATAGGAAAAACTTGCAGTGTAGAGGAGCCCAACTTATCCAAATACACCTCCAAGGGGCATACTTGATGGATCCAAGAAAGTAAGCATTCTAGGCTGACTTGCTATGTGTAGGGACCTGTAGTTGATAACTTCCATCTCTGTTGGTCCGGCACATCATTTTGTAGAGATAACCCATCCACCATGTCCCAAATACGAAGGTATTCACAAATAACCTTTTTTTTCGATAATGGAAGCTTTATTAAAACTCAGTCAAATACACCAAGATGATACATTTCAACTGAGCCCACTCCCGGCCTCTGCATAAGATGCACACAGCCACACACAAAGAAAGACCTATGTATACCCCCCTCACGAAACAAAAAATATTAGTGGCTATCAATCCGTAGACTAGATCACCAACCATGCTCTTGGGTAAAAAATTCTAGTGCCACCTGGTCCAAACTTTGCGGTACCACCACAATAGTATCCCGAAGACCCGGTTTGTAGAGGATAGCCAAGGTGCGAAGCCATCGGGTGACTAAAGTAATAGCCTGCAAAGGAGAAGACACCATCTTGTTATCAAAAATTACCCCATTTCTACTTAGCCAAATGGACCAACAAAGAGCTGTTGCACCCATCAAAACCAGATTTCTCATGTCTTTAGGAACACATGTAAGCCAACACCCAAACATATGAGTCACATTTTGAGGAGGTTGTAAGTTATAGGCCATATGAATAACAGACCAAACCAAGAGAGTAAGATGACATTGGAAGAACAAATGTTGAATGGTTTCGTCCTTATGACAGAAGCAACATTTGTTACTACCTTTCCACTTTCGCTTAGCTAGGTACTTTGTAAGCCTGAGTTGTAAGACCTCCTTTAGTATCATCCACCCAAGTAAATAAGACTTGTGCCACTGTGCAATGTTTCCTTGCCCTTCGGAGAGCCTTCCCAGAAAGATTTGGGGGTTTGGGGCCAATTCTGCAGTTGTTTTGCCTTTCAGCCATCTATCAGTCCAGAATTTGGTATTCTCCCCATTACCAATTATGCATTAGCTAATTAACTGTATATGTAGGACAACCCTGAATGTGCTATTGAAATAGGTAGATTAGGTTGCTGTTAAGTTTCTATTTTATGTTATTCGTCATTGCTTTCTTCTGTTCTGATCTTTCAATCTAAATAAATAATACGTGAGAATTATTCACCTCATGTTCCAATGAAATGTACGTGATATTATGTTTTTGGGGGCGCTGTGCAGATACACTGCAGAAGAGGACTTTGCAACAGCTGATGCTGTGTTCGATTGCATTGGTGACCCTCCAGAAGTACGCTTTGATTTGGAGTTCTGCGCCAACCTCCTCCAGAAACAATTTGTAAGCTGAAGGAGCAGACGGTCAATTTCACCCATATCATATAAATTCTATAAATTCTTGCCCAGGATTATGGAAAGCGGAAATGGTCTCTATAAAATCATTCCAAATACAAGAGTCAAGAGGAACAGCATTGCTTTATATACTATTGATATTTGTTATTTATGTATAGAGGAGTACATATATGAACATAATAGAATAAGAAATCGAAATATCTTTAATTGAAATTTGTTACTAAATCTGTCCTAAAAACAAGTTCACTTTTCTAACCGATTCATGGCAGCCACTTGTCCAAATTCTTGTAGAAAAATGAAGTCTTTTTTGACGGAGGAGGTAGTACTTTTCAGTATGTATGCTTTGATGGCTTTTAATCGCTTGGCATGCTGATCCAAATAGTGGGTTCCATGAGCACGCGTTTTTAATGGATTAGCTTTGAACGAAAAATGAAAGTTTGTCATGACAGTGGTCATTGGTTGGAACTTGTAACCATCTCTAGACTCTAGGTTTTTTTTTTCAAGACAGGCATCTAAAGTTGTGCAAAGCGTGACTATATGGCTAGTATTATAGAAAACGATAATATCAATAATAAATCGTTAAACTAGACAAACTCAGTAGCTTATATTAGATTCTATATGTGTCAAAAAAGCAAATACAATATGATGTAACGGACTTTATAAGGGTGTGTTAGGTTCATAGTCAAAGTTGGATGAGATATGTCGGTCCATATTTTGTTGGATATGGTTATCTAGTTTTTTATTTGGTTAAGTGAATATGGCGATGCAATTTTTTGTTTGGTCGTAGGGATGAAGGTGGATTTTGAGATCTAATTTTTTTTTTTGGCTGGAGGGAGTAGGTGCATTTGCAGGTGTAGTCACCTCTCACTTGAGATGGTGAATATACCCCCATTAAATTAATACATAATACAAATTATAAATTCTCCAACAATTTTACACCACTACCTCCTTTATAAATACACATAGAAAAAAGAAAAAAAAGAAAAAGGAAAAGGAAAAAGGAGAAAAAAGCAGGGTGGATCTCGGGGCTCGCTGCCGCTGCCTCCTCCTATCGGCCGTCGCTGCTCGCCTCCTCCCACCAGCCGCTGCAACCTCCTCCCACCAACGCGGCGCTCGCTGCTCACACCGGCCGCAGCGAACTGTTGTCGTCGTCGCCGGGTTCGCATCGTCGTCATCGTCACTAGCCGGGCTTGATCATCATCGTCTTCACCGCGGCGCTTGTCTCTCGCGCCGGATCCCTGGCTCACCGCTGTCCCCTCTTGCCACACTAGCCGCAGTGCATCGTTGTTGTCGTTGCCGGGCTCGCATCGTCATTGTCGTTGCCGCCGCGCTTGTCTCTTGCACCGGATCTCCGAGCTTGCCACCACTCCCTCCTCCAACCAACACGGCGCTTGCCGCCCATACCTGCCGCAACGCATTGTCATCGCCATCGCTGGGCACGCATTAGCGTCGTCATCACTGTCGGCTCGCATCGTCATCGTCATCGCCCCCTCTCTTTCCATGGAGGCCCCGCTCGTCCGATCGCTCGGGCGGCCAACCATCCGGCATCTGAGGAGAATATTCCCCTCCGGGCCGCCATGTCCCACTTCCGCCCACCAACCAAACACCCAAAAAAAAACGAGCAGCCATGTCCTATCCACCCAAAACCTCCCATCTATGAGAAGGATCACATGACACTTGTGTTTATGAAAATGAGAGAGAGGTGCGCTAAGTATTAATGGTGTAGTATATATCCATATATAGCTATTGTGTGAGTGTGTTATTAGGTCGACTATGGATAATGTGGATATATTATTAAACTTACTTTTTTTATGCAAAAAAACTTGCTCTTTAAGCTCACCAGTGCTACATACAGACAACCTTTTTTTTTTCATTGATAATAAAATACGAGAACACGTACCTATAATTTTCGGGAATTTTCGAGTACATCTTTTTTACCCAATCAATTAGAATTCAGGTTAAAGAAGGTCTTTTTCCTCGTCGTATCCTTTATATGGAAATCCGGGGCCAGGGGGCCATTCCCTTGACTTGTACTGATGAGAAGTTTTTTACTCCACGAGAAATTGAACAAAAAGCTGCCGAATTGGCTTATTTATTGCGCATACCAATGGAAATATTTTAAGTACCAATTGAATTTTTTGAAATGAATTGAATGAAGAAGAATAGGAAGAAGAAAAGTTTTCTCAACACGAGGGAAAAGGTCCCTTCGAAATTGCATTATTGTAAGGGGATTTTGAGTATTTATCTAAAGGAAGGAACAAATGAGGATAAGAGAAAATTGCTTCTAATTTGTCCAAGTGGGATATATGGCGTAAAAAAAAAAAGGCAAGAACAAAGAGGAGCGACACGCCTGTCCACATGCAGTTGGCTTCCAAAGTCGTTGCCTCGCCTGTTGCGAGTGAACACGGAACAGGACTCTGGAGCCACTGCCGATGACCGTTTTTTCATCGTCTTTCCAGGAAAACTATGGATGACGCCGTTAGCTACCACTTCACGTCTCCACTCTCCACCCAGGCACCTACTATACGGCTCCACCCATAGTTTTTCCTATGAGGTCTTTTAAGGTGCTTGAGAGGTACCTCCAGTACCTCCTCTCGGATAAACACTCACCATTGATTCAATAAGGACAGTTTAGGAATAAAAATATTGTAAACATGGATAGCACTGTAACTTTTTACAAATGTTTCCGTCTCTAATATGCTTCTTCGGCTTCTGTAGTGCTTCCGAATTCCGATACATGTTCGTGGGACTCATTCAATTTCCATATCAATCATTTACTCCTATTTTGTTGTGACTTAGGCACGTTCTCCCTCCGTTTTATATTATAAGTCATTTTGATTTTTTTTCTAATCAAACTTATTTAAATTTAACCAAAATTATATAAAAACATAATAACATTCTTAACACAAAACAAATATATGTAATATTAGATTTTTTTTTAAAACTAATTTAATATTTTAAATGCTACTAATTTTTCATGTAAATTTGTTCAAATTTAACAAAACTTAAGTAGAAAAAAGTTAAAACAACTTATAATATAAAACGGCGGGAATATAACTCTTTTTTCCCTTTTGTTGAGATACTATGAGAATATACCATATAGATTAAAGGAAAATATGTACACGATTATTATCAATTAATTTCTCAGTTTATCATTAATTACACAATTACTAATCGCGAGGTTAGTGGCGCATTAGGGCAGTCCCAACCCTTCATCTAGGATGGTGTCTATAACATTAACTACATTGCCATGTAAGACTTTTAGCTTATGTGGCACTATATTAATTAAGAGAGAGAGTGAAGAGAGGAAGAAATTGGGTCTCATGCAAGACACAGCTTCAACGCGAGAACCTATGCATTAGACACTATCAAGTTTTGCATTAGGAGAGAATAGTGTCTTCATAATAGATGAAGAATAAATATGATTGGTAGAGAAGAGAGATGATGTATTTATTAATGGCCCACTTTAAGAAACCATAGGTTGTAGAGTGTAGTTTCTATTGTGATGTCTTATTGACATGGCACCATAGACACTACTTATAGACATTATGGGTTGGCACTGCCCTTAGACCCCCTGCCGATCACGCCACGTCATGATTTAATTACCCTCTCTCAGCCTGATCTATGCAAAATCAAGATAATTACCTATTAAACTTTCCACTTAATTTACGGATTAAGTACCTTGGCCTATTTTTTACTACCTTTCAGAAGATACCTCTCTATGGACCATTAGATTTTAGTTGATTAACGGACCATATAACTTCCGAGAACCCCTCTTTTCGGGCAAAATCTTCTCGGTTTAGTGTTAACCAGCGACGAACAAATTATGAGAGGAAGTACTGCTACACGTGCTGAAGTGCATGCTTGTTTTTCCTCTTAGATATGTATGTCTTTTTCTTTCTTCTTATAAAGTTTTCTTTCAAATTACTTATCCGATCTACAATCCGGTTGCACCATTGTGTTCGTTACAATTAAATCTTCACAACAAGATCTTACATGATTATATTACGATGAAAAAATATTTATATTTGTAAATTACTTTTATTATATACGTAAGTTACTTTTATCATATATATATATATATATATATATATATATATATATATATATATATATATATATATATATATATATATATATATATATATATATATATATATATATATATATATATATATATATATATATATATATATATATATATATATATATAAAAGTTACTTTTAGATTTGACTAAGTTACTTCTTAGAAATATAAAAGTAAATTCAATAAAGTCTAAAAGGTATTTACATGTATTAAAAAAGTATCTTAAAACAAAACGGAAGTAACTTTGTCACGGTATTAGAAGTAAATTCATTAAAGTTACTTTCTTTTTGTTATAAGTTACTTCTATAATATATGTAAATTAATTTTAAGCTTTATTGAATTTACTTTTATATATCGAAGAAGTAATTTAGTGAAATATAAAAGTAATTTAGATTTATTATAAAAGTAATTTATAATTTTTCATCAAAATATAATCATGTGAGATCTTATTATAAAGATTTAATTGTTACAAACACAACGATGTAATCGGATCGTAGACCGGATAAGTAGTTTAAGAGAAAATTTTATTTAAAGTATAGATGGATAAAGTCTCCTACAGGTGGAGTGGTACTAGCTAGTCACGTCCCTCTTTTCGTGTACCTCCAGTCCACGGCTCCACCCAAGAGTTTTCTGTTTTTTGGTCGTCACCACCGTCACGCCGTGCCGTGCAGACCATCCTCTCTCTCCTCCATTACCATCCGCTCCCCCCGACTCCGACGCCGCGCAGGTGCAGCGCAAGCATGGCAGAGTAAGGCGGAGACAGCGTCGCAAGCAGAAGCAGCTCTGACACTCGCCGCCAGATTCCGCTCCCCAAACACCGCACTCCAATTCCCTCTTCGTCGGGTGCATCGGCCGCCCACCAAGCCCCGCCCGCCGAACACCATGGCCGCCGGCTACGGCGAGCAGCCGCTGCCGCTGGTACAGGAGGCCACCGCCCGAATCTTCTCCGGTGGCGCAGACGCGTCCCGCACCACCGTCCGATTGGCCCACTTCCTCCTCCCCCGCGCGGGCGCCTCCCACCCGCCCGCTCTCCCGCCCCTGCCTCCCAGCGATTTCGGCCCCGTCCTCGACGACGGCCTCAAGGTCGAGTTCAAGGGCTGGGCGCCGGAATCCCCCAAGCTCTGGAGGCGGTGGGTCGCCAAGCTCCGCCCGCGCCACGAGCCCCTGTGGCGTAAGGTTGGGATCCTCGACGCCGTCCTCGCCACCACGTGCCGGGTGCGCCGCGACGAGGGCGCGCTGCTCCAGCTCGCCGCCTTCTGGTGCGGCGAGACCAACACCTTCGTGTTCCCCTGGGGTGAGGCCACGGTGACGCTCGAGGACGTCGCGGTGCTCGGCGGCCTGCCGCTGCTGGGCAGGCCCGTGCGCGCGCCGCCGCAGGACGCGCTCCGCGGCGACGTGGACGCGCTCGAGGCCGTACGCCGCGCTCTCTACCTCAGCAAGAACAAGAACAGCAGGCCCGACCGTACCGCTTGGGCGAGACATTTCCTCGAGCGCCCTCCGGGGAAGGTCAAAGTCGGCGGCGGCGGCGGCGACGAAGCGTGCGGGCGCCTCGAGCACGGCGCGTTCCTGGCCATGTGGCTGTCTCTCTTCGTGCTACCGGCGGCTCCGTTCGATGTGGTCCGGACGGAGGTGCTCCCACTCGCCGCCCGGCTGGCGCGCGGCCGCGGCGTGGCGCTCGCTCCTGCTGCCCTGGCTAGCATATACAGTGATCTCTCCGCGCTCAAGCGCTACATCAATTTGGAGAAAAGATATCAGGCCTTCGTCGTGTGGGCACCCCTGCAAATCGTTCAGCTTTGGCTCTGGAAGCGGTTCCCTGAGCTTCGCCCTCCTGAGACCACGGGCACCAATCAACCTGACGGCCATGGCATACCCACGGAATCCCAGTGGCAAAATGCTCTCAAGGTGCTTGACCCCGTTTATGTCCACGCAGTGTTCATGTCACCCAAGAAGTTTGAATGGAGGCCCTATGGGAGTAGCAGCTTCGCGCTGCGGCCAGAGATGGGTAGCCATCGTGTTCACGGCCAAGATATAGCAGAAAGTGCAGAATTGTTATCCTTCATACTATGTTTACGTGCTTGTGAGCTTGTGGGCATGCGCTGCATTGAGCATTACCGTCCGCATCGTGTTGCAAGGCAGCTCAGCTTTGACCAGGATATTCCTGGAACTCTTCCCCGTGTTAACTCAAACTGGGTGGCTGCATGGGAAACATACAAAATGGAGCCTAAGAAATTTGTATTCATTGTTCCCAAGTACAAGCCCGCTGTTACAATTGATTATGTGCAATGGTGGAAGCCTTACTTGTTGGGATGTGCTGCTGCTGTTGTTAAAGCTAGGAAGATGAAAGAACTTCCACTTTTACTTAGTCCAAGAAAAAGAAAGATTGATGTGCCTCCTGATGTTAGTCCAAAAAGGGTAGGAAATGGTGCAAAGGAAAAGGCAGTGGAATTGTCGTTTGAGGCACCAATAGGCTCAGTAAGCACAATAAACGAATTATCTTGTGTATCAGCCACCAAAATAGTACAAGGCAAATCTTTTCAGCAAGGTAATAAGGAACCACCAGACCTTGTCGTTGCACATGACAGAGAGAATAGAAGCTCGCTACATAGTGAAGTACTGCAAAATCTCCTTGTTGAGGATGCCACAAACACTGGCAGCAATGAAGCCTTATGTGCAGTAACTATAGCTGATATGCACTCAACAGAAGTGTCGTTTGATGTTCCAGTTGCCTTAGTAAGCATTGTAGATGAATTACCTTGTGTGTCAGCCTCCATAGAAGAACAAGGCAAACCTTGCCAGCAAGATAAAGAGGAAGCACACAACCTTTCTGTCACACATGACAGGGAGAATAGAAGCTCGCTACATAGTGAAGTACTGCAAAATCTCGTTGTTGAGGATGCCACAAACACTGGCAGCAATGAAGCCTTAGGTGCCATAACTGTAGCTGATATGCACTCAGCAGAAGTGTCGTTTGATGTTCCAGTTGACTTGGTAAGTATTGTAGATGAATTACCTTGTGTGTCAGCCACCAAAGAAGAACAAGGCAATGATTGCCAGCAAGATAAAGAGGAAGCACGAGACCTTTCTGTCACACACGACAAAGAGAATAGAAGCTCAGTAGTTTATGTGCACTCAACACCTGTTGTGGCTGCAAACACTGGCAACAACAAAGCCTTTGGACCTTCACCCATAATTGATGTGCAGTCAGCACCTGAAGACGTTGTGGTGATCAGCGATGACGATAATGAGGATGAGGTCGGTGGGATGCACCAAAAACCACCGCAGTTGGAAACAGCACCATCCTCCTTAGAAGGGCAAAATGCAGAAAGTCAGATAATCAGTGCAAGCAGTAATCCTCAGGACAGCCGAGTGATGAAAGATGTTAGGGTCCAAAGCAATTGTGATCACGAAACTGATAATGTTCGAAGCAATATTGTTCTCAGAAAAGAATCATTTGAAGTACTTGCTGTTGATACTGTCCAGCCTGGTTTTAATCTCTTGGATACACCAACAGGGGAAACGCAGACATGCGCTGTTACAGGACAGATAGACAAGGGATACATGGTGGAAAAAGAAATTTTGGCTGGTGTGGAAGGTATCAAAAATGTAAATGAAGACGTGTCCCCATCATTTCAAGAAATAAACTCTCCTGTGGAAGATTGCATGGTGGCCAATAGAAGAATGGGCTCAGGTATGAGGATTAATAAAAATACAGTTCCATATTTCAATCAAGCTATGTACCAAATAAATCATGACAAAAATGTGTTGACGATAACGTAAACTTTATGCTATTTTTTCAATTTTTGTAGGAAACAACTATTCTAGTGGTTTGGCACATGTGAATACTCAATTGATCAACAGAGTAGTTTGTACTAGGACACTATACTATCTTAGACCATTTTGGTTGTCAAAACATGGTCAGAACAAAGATGCAAGTGACACCACTACCGATGAAGGAACTTTCCAACCAAGACGGGAAGTTGGGACGCCACAAATGATTGAAGAGGCATTTGCAGCTCGACAAGCCCAAAAAGTTGAGTTGCAAAAGGTAATTGATCGCCTGAAGGAAGAGATTGTGGCACTAGAGGTTCCATGAGAGGACAGGTGCTCCTCAATAAATTGAGGTATGGCTTGGAGTAAATATATGTCAGTACTTTTGAGTCTTTAGAGCATGAGTCCTGATGTTATTATTACTACATTAAACTATACTAACAGCGTGCGCTAGGCAGTGGCTGAGTGCTGAGAGAAACGTAAAGGGGCCTCATCAAAGAGATGATACTTAGGCCCCGTTCTTTTCTCACAAAGATAAAGATTTTACCTCGGTATCCGTTAGCACGCTTTTCAAACTACAAAACGTGCGAAAACTTTCTATATGAAAGTTGCTTTAAAGTATCAAATATATTCATTTTTCAAGTTTGTAATAATTAAAACTCAATTAATCATGCGTTAATGGCTTTCTCCTTTTGCGCACCCGCTTTTAATCTTCATCTTCAGAAGATTTGAACGGGGCCTTAATGTAGTATTTCCCCTAGAGATTTGCTCATTTACATGTTATACCTCACCCTTACACAGTGGATTGTGCTTCCTCATCTTGAAGTGAAACTAAAATACAGTTGATAAGATATTAGTTGATTTTGGGAAGTTCTACATTGGTAGAAGTTAAATCTAACTGTTGAATTCATGTACACCTCCCATTCAGAATTAGGATCACAGTGGAAGCACATCCACTAGAAGCCCCCAACTGACCAACGGCCTCGAGGCACCATGGTGGCCACCCATTCTGACTCCAGGTCTGCCACCAGTCTTTGAATCCCACACAAAGAACTGCCCTTCTTCCGCGTTGCTGTCCTCATTTACCATATCTCATGTTGGGTTTCGCTTGTATCATATTTGCTAATGGTTTCTTGGTGAGGTAGCCAGCGGCCAGCGGAGGCAATGAGCCGATGAGGGAGGCAGCTAAGCGAAGAATGAATGTGTTCAGATGCTGCTCGATGCGAAAATGGAGGTATGATCTATAGATTCAGCAGTGATTTTTTTATGCCCGACTTATCATCTGATCATGGATTAGTGAATTGCATCATTGGTACTTCATGAAAGAAATTGTCGAGGAAGACTTGGGAGTGTGGTAGGTTGCAGGGAAGAACCGCATGTTGGTGAATGAGCTTGAAGCGTTGAATGTGTATTGTTTTTGCATCCAACCTGAAAGATGCAGATTTTTGCCTCTGATAAGTGGAATGCATTTAGTTGTTTTTTTGTCCATTGGATCGACATATATGAACATTCAGCAGTAAGAGGTCCTTAAGATGGCCACTTGATGACATGGAAACCCTGTTGGTGCGATCAACGTTTTGACGAGATCTGTTGCTCTTCGGAAAAGAGAACTTTTTGAATTAATTTGCTTATCCGAAAGAAGTGTGTTCATGGTTAATATGCATACCTTTGAGCACAAATGACTTATGTTAAGGGTTGATTAACCACTTTTGTACTTTTTTTTGGGAGGAATCATTTATCTACTTGTTACACTGGTAATACTTGACCATTAACTGAAAACATGCAATCTGCTTTAGCATCCACTTCTGAATTTTATATGTGAATGGATGCAGAACTCTGCTTTAGCTAACCATATGATTCGGATTTTTCTTAAATGATACTGCTGAATGTGATTTGGTACAATGGGATGAGGCATCTAATTGTATTGCTTCAAATGGAATGGTGTTTTAGATAAACCTCAGTATATTTATTTTTAGGCAATAGCGTGGAATCATGCTGGAATTCAGAATAAAAAGCATTAGGTCCATCCTGGAGTTTAGAATAAAAACCCTCTCTCTCAATATTGTTTCTCATATGATGGCAAGTAGAATAAAAACCTCCTCTCCCAATATTGTATCTCATATGCTGGAGTTTATATTAAAAGCCTTAGCTCCATAGCTTCTGGTCGTCATTTCTGTTCACCTGTTAAGATATCAGGGTTCAGACTTCAACATGGTTTCATTGTTCTAGGTCTTTCAGGCTATTTAATCAATAAAGTATGTCTATGATCAGATTAAATTGTTATATTTTACTGTGATTAGCTGTCCTTTTCCTTCATCTGAATGTTTTGAGGTACTTTTAAGTTTCATAATCTAAAAATGTTTTGCGGTTCACATCATAGTAGCCTTCACTAAATGTGAACTGCCAGAATGTTGCATACTAAATAATTACACTGATTGTTCCCCCTGCTGAAACTAGATGAGCATTATCTGAATGTTGCCTTTTTATGTGTGATGTTTCTCCAAAACTGAATGTGAATCCATTATCGCGGAATTATGTCAGTCCCATTTTACAAAGCTTAGATTTAATATGATCCAGACTGAAACTCGATTCACCTCAGTTGCAAATTATTATGAGTTTTATTGTATACATCCAAATGAAAAATTAGTCTCTTCGTTCCAGTTTGCTGTCCTGCAATACACGGCGCACATTTGGACTAACAACTCTTTTCATATTTGTGCAGTTTGAGGTGGTGATCTTTTCTCCTGAAGATAAAAATTAAGTTTTTTACGTAAAACGAGGTGGTATTAACATATGATTGATTGAGTTTAAATTATTACAAACTTGAAAAATAGATTAATATGATATTTTAGAGCAACTTTCATATAGAAAGTTTCCGCACGAAACGCACCGTTTAGCAGTTTGAAAAGCGTGCCACGAAAAATTTTAATCTTCATCCAACTTTCATTTGGGGGATACTGATTTTTATTATTGGCCTTTATTTATTGTTCATGCAAGCACTGCGTATAAGAGGAAGCCATAATGCGGTTATTACTAGCAGAAATGGTAATGCATGCTCAACTAACACCGTTCAAATTATTCCATCAATTTTAGGTGCATAGAAAGCAATTCAATCCTGATAAACATCACGGTATTCATCTGGTTGTTTACATGCGCAGCAAGGACTTAAGGGATCGTTTATGTATCATCGATCTGCGATGTAATAATATAGATTATTTACCATGTCATTCGGTTGCTTAATAAAAATCTGTGTATGTAATTATCACAGGAGATATAGTAGTGAATGATCAACAATGTACTTGTTCTCATAGTAACTTTGGGTTGTTATTGTCTCTAACACAGAAGATCATTTTGCCAATAATAACTGCATTGTGTATGCTTGATTTCCTTACATGGCCACCCTGTATCCAGATTAATCAGGTATTCTTCACTTGATGTTAAATATTGGTTACCATTAATTATTTTCTGTTATCCAGATGCAAATACAAGTCCCAGAGTTATCTGCCATGAGGGGTTAAGAATAAAGTGAAAAATGTTGCTTACATGATGTCCTCATGATTTTGGTATATTTTAAATTAACTGTAATCCACCACTAACATGCTTTGTATGTCTCATTTCACCCTATCTACGACACTTGAATTAGAATCATGCGCTCGTCATGGATGGCGGGTCAGAGTAAAGCAAATCGATCAATTGATATAATAGATCTATAAGCAGTTTGCTTTTTATTCGTTATTTCCTAGCATAACTACTTTTGTATTTTTATATTAGTATTTTGTTGTTCCCTAATATCGAAAATTCGGATCGGGCGCTCTCCTCGCGCGCTCACCCCCCCCCCTCCCAGGTGCTGCATGCAGGCCCTGGCTCCACCACGTCTCGGCTCCTATCTGTCATTGCAACAAATCACTAACGTATTTTGGAAACCCTTTATTAAGGGAATTTGGTTTTTTTTCCACCAAAAATGTTTCATCTAATGTACTCGCAATGTTTCACTATATATAGATCTAATGTTGCAATGTTGCAGTGAACTGAAATATTCCATTGCAACAAAAAAACCCACATATTTTGGAAACTCCCTATTAAGGGAATTCGTTTCATTTTTTGTTCCACCGAAAAATGTTTCACCTAGTATACTTATAATGTTTCACTATGTATGGATCAAATATTGCAGTGAACTGAAACATTCTTTCGTTTTTTGATGAAACATTATTTTTATATGAGGTGAAACAACACCCGATTTAAACGAGTGAAACATTTTCGATCTACTTAGTGAAACAATTCCGATATACCTGATGGAACATCGTGCAACATTTAAAAATAATTCAATAATAACTTGAAAAAAATTCGTCGGAATATATCCATGTGTGGTCTTGTTTTGAAGATTTAATTGCAACGAATTTAATGGTGCAATCGGATCATGATTTGGATAAGTAATTTAAGAGAAAAATCAGTTTAAAGTAGTTTTGTACGTAAATCGGACGTTGACGTCATGTATTTTTCTCCAAACCGACTGGGCGCCCGATCCGTGGACTCGTCCCCCTAATATGTATCAAAAATTTTGGTAAACGATTTCTGTAGTGACTAGCTATATATAAGTACATGGTAAAAGTTATTAAGTTTGTGATATAAGGATTATTGCCTATTTTGCTTGCAATGGAAGTGGAAACAAATGGTTGAATATATCTTGCACAAGTCCATTTGCAATGCCACTATGCCAGTTCAATTCAGAAACTTCAGCGGTGGTAACTGGCGAGTGGCGATTTACGGTTAGATATAAAGTGAACTTGCCTATTATTTAAGTATTACAAAAAATATAGCAGTGATAATGTGTTTTGCACAAATAAAAGATTTCATTCTGGATATATTCCTGGTACTTGGAATTTAGAAGAGATGCAATATAAAAAGTGAGTCCGGATGAATAAAATTGGAGTTTCATAATTTCATAGAATTACAGAGAACCTTTTCAGTTATACTATCTTGATAAGGGCGCCCCCGCGTCGCTCATAGGGCAAGGGCAACACGGGTGGTGACCGCCGCCACCGTACCACCACCCTCGCCCCCTTCCCTTCTTCGCCTGGCCGTTGCTTGAGCAAGCTGTCAGAAACCGCGCGGCCGCAAAGACGGCGGCAGCGGGGCCTACTTTCTCCCCGAGGTCGCGGTGTCGGAGCCCACAACCTCAATCTGGTCTCGGGCTGCGACGGCCGCGGTGGTGCTAGGTTGAGGGTTGGCTACCGGTGGTGAGGAGAGTGGCAACGTCGACGGCGAGGCGGAGTCGACTGGGATGACGAGGTTGAGGCGGTGTTGATCAGGGCGACGATGGGGAGGCAGTGCCTCCGGATATGGAGTCCCCTGGCCAGATCTGGCCACCTCTCGTCCGTATCTGACCTCCCCGGCATAGGAGGCCGGCTCCCGAGTAGGCAGCGGTAACAAGGCGGCGTGGTGCGGCTGCATGGCGATGGGGTGAGGTAGGAAGGGTGCGGTGTTGAAGGCAGGCATGCCCGCATGGTACCGACAAAGATGAGGAAGATGGAGGTGGCGACAGGATGGGAGGAGCTGGGAGCATAGTGGCGACGGTTTTCTGCCGACTTGGCTGCTTCCGGCTGAGGGCTGGCGCATCGCAGAGGCGCGCAGCTACGCGGGTAGGGTGACGCTGTGTACGGTGGCAAGCCTGATGGCGGCGGAACTGTGGGAGGCTAGCACGATGAGCAATCAGAGTTGCGAGTGGTCGGTGCGGGCAACGTCAAGGAGGTTAGCTCAACTGACGGCGTGGAGGCTGATGCGGGGGATGGCATCCGTGCCATGGCATGGCGTGCTGGCTAGAGCTTTGGTGGCAGCAAGACGGATGATGCGGCGGTGATGCGGACAGGCGGCTTATGGCGACGTGGGTAGCCTGGCTTAGGCGGCGACGACGGTGGCACCGCGAGGTGGGTGTTGTAGGCCTACAACGGGTCCTAATCGAGACGCTAGTCCTCTTGTGCTGCCACAAGATGGCCATGTTGGCAGGCTAGTGCAAGGGAGAGGGGATCCATTCTTCTTTCTCACCCTCTCACTCTCCAACCTAACTGTGTGTATGGATTGGAGTGCGTCGGATGTCGAGCACCTACTTGATGGTCGGTTGATGATAGGGCGCTGGCACAATGGCTGCGTGTTGAAGGAGTGCGGTTGGTGGTAGCTTCTATGTCCAGTAGAAGAATCGATACGGGGGTACAGGAAGATTACGGGGCGAAAGCCTAGCCTCTCTAGGCTAGCAACGGTGACGCCTGGGGTGCCGTTTTCCTCTTGGGGCGTTGTTGGGTGATCTCTCATGTCCCCTAATGGATTCCTCTAAGTGAAAACCACGTCTTGAATCCCAGGACGAGCGACGACGGTATTCTCAGTGTTGTACGCTTCCTGAAGGCGTCATTTAGAAGATTCTTTTCCTTCGGGATGTCGTTTTCATGTCTTTTAGTAGCGGGCTTCTAGTTGTAGATACGTGATGTGGTTGTAATTTTCTTTTCCTGACTATAGCCTTCCAAGGCTATAGAGTTGTATTTTTTTTTCTGTTCTATTAATATGAAACGTTGCACTATCATGTACGTGTTGTTTAAAGAAAAGAATTTTGTAGAATTGAAACTCCTGGTATCTCATGTCTTGTAACTTAAAATCAGCTGGGGAGGTGCCTTTGTATGGCGTGATTTTTTTTTTGTTGAAGAAATTGCTTCTGAAAGAGAGAGGGTATTTATTGGACTTCTTATAGGAGAAAAAATCACTGCATGGATTGTAGGAGTTTTTTTAGCTGTCGCTTATATAGCTATAAGATATG